GGGGGCGGGGCGCGGGGGAGGGCGCGGCGAGAACCGGGCCCCGAGCCAGGCGATCCCCGGCCACCTACTCCGGAGGGGAGAAAATCAGCTAAGAAACCAATTTTAAAAAAAAGAAAGAAAGAAAAAAAGGCAACGCTCCAGTGCACACCCCCTTAAGACGAAGTCTGTGCAAAGGACGCTCCCCACTCCGGTACAGCTGCAAAATCCTCCGAGGTCCAGGTCAGCTCCGCATCTTGCTAAAAGCACTCGCTCAGTCCAATTAACAGAAAAAAATAAAGGAAAAAAATTAAATAACTAAAAATCAAAACCAGGTGTGTGCGGCAGCAGGCGGAAAGCAAACCTTTCAGTCCGTTTTTGCTGACTTTCCTAGACCTGGAAAGGGGGAAAAAAAATTCCTGAAAGCGCTGCAGCCCCTCCCCCAAATCCAATACAGATGGAGACTGCGGGGGCGGGGGGGTGAAGCGGACGCTCCGCGGGCTCTAAAGGAGTCTTCGAGCTGCAAGGGCCCGGGTTTAAAAAAAAAAAAAAGCAAAAAATAATTTTTTTTTCCTCCCTGATCCCCGGGCCGCGGGTTCTTCTGCGCACGGAAGCGTTTGAGTGTGCGCGCACAGCGTGCGCTCGGCGGGGCCTCCGTTTGGGGTTCAATTGCAGCAGCGCAACCCTGAAAATTCCCCACGGAGGGGAGGAGGGGAGGCTGCGCCGCTCCGAGGCTGCTCGGGATGCGGCAAAACCTGGCAGCATCCCCGCCCCCAAGCGCTCCCTCCTCCTCTTCCTCCTCTGGGCTCTTCTAAAATAAGACCAGGGAGCTGGGGTGCAGGGGAGCGGGCTAGGGGAACCGAGGTGACGGCTGCCACCCATCGCCAATAGGAAAGGGCGTGGCCCGGGGCGGGGATGGGAGGGGGGTCCACTCGGGTCGATCAGATCACCAAGTCTTAGGCCGACTGCTTCCAGACAGACGGGACCAGCACCCTAGCCAGAGGCGGGAGGGACTTAAAGATAGAGGAGGGGGTTGGTGTGGAGACCGACGGGTGGCCCATCGCCGCAGAAATGTAGGTCTGCTGGGCAAAACACGATTTTTGAGAGATTGAAGGATGGGTTGGGTTCTCTGGCAAGGCTGTGGGTCACAGGGGCCTGTTCCAAGCTGAATGTTTAGGCCATCTTTTAGGAGTCAGATCTGAACAGCGGGTGACACCCCATGGTGCTCCCTTCCTTTCAAAGGCCCTTTGCTTCCCCTCACACCCGCCTTTTATTCTGTTGGGAAGTCACATAAACACAGAAAAATACATAAAACACAAACAGGTAGAGAAACCCCAAGGCCTGTCACTAGAAACCCACCCACAGACTGACACAAGGACCCCACCCAACCCTAATAACCACTGCCTGACCTTATGGCATTCATGTTTTTTAGCTTTTCCTTACAGCACCGTTTTGCTTTGCTTCTTTTGAGCTAGGTGAAGTCACTTGATACACATTATTCTGCAAGACCTGGTTTCTTGGGTTCCACTGTTTGTCTAAACCTCATCTGCTGTCACCTATAGTTGTGGGTGATACATTTTCTCTACTGTGTAGTATTCCATGGACTGACCATGCCTTTATTCATTCCTTTAGATAGCACCTAGGTTATTCAGTTGGGGCCTTGGTGAGTGTGCCTTCCTTGGGTGTAATATGGGCCATTTGCTGCTAGGTGGGTGGGAACCATAGATTCAGGTTTGTAGGATATCAAACTGTTATAAAGTAGATGTATCAAGAAATCATTTTCAGGGGCTACAGAGATGACTCACTGAGTGGTTAAGAGCACTGGCTGCTCTTGCAGAGGACCTGGGTTCAATTTCCAATACCCACCAGGCTGTCTGTAATTCCAGTTCCAGGGGCTCTGACTCCCACTTCTGGTCTCCAAAGGCATTGCCCACATGTTGTGCACTTACATATATGCAAGCAAAACATTCATACACATAAAATAAAAATAATCAAAAAAATTAAAATCTGGCGTGGTGGCACACACCTTTAATCCCAGCCCTCAGGAGGCAGAGGCCTCTTGAACCCTGTGAGTTCAAGGCCATTCAGGTCTACATAGTGAGTTCCAGGCCAGCTGGGGCTACAGGGAGACCCTGTCTAAAAGACAAAGAAAGGAGGCTAGAGAGATGGCTCAGTAGTTAAGAGCACTAGCTATTCTTTCAGAGGACCCAAGTTCAATTCCTAGCGTCCACATGGTGGCTAACAACCATCCCTAACTCCAGTTCCAGGGGATCCGGCATCTTTTTCTGACTTCCGTGGGTATTGCATGACACGGGTGCACTTACATTCAGGCAAAACATTCATACACATAAAATAAAAAGAAATAAGGGGCTGGAGAAATGGCTTAGCAGTTAAGAGCACTGCCTTCTTTTACAGAGGACCCAGGTTTGACTCCTAGTAGCCACACGGTGGCCAACAACTGTCTTTAACTCCAGTTCCAGGGGATCTGATGCCCCCTTCTGACCTCCATGGGCATTGCACAACACAAGTACACTTACACACATGCAGGTGATGCACTCGTACACATAAAAGTAATAAAATATTTTTAAATAAAATAAGTAAATCAAAAAATTGTAAAGAAAAAAAGTTTTCAGGGGCCAGCAACATAGTGAGACCCCATCTAAAAGAAAGAAAGATAGTTTCCAGGGGCCAGCAAGATGAATCAGTGGGTAAAGGGGCTTGCCAGCAAGCCTGACACCCTGGGTTGAATCTTCAGAACATACACAGTGAAAGGAGAGAACTAACTCCCACAAGTTGTTGTCTGACTAGCATGGGCACCATGGCACATACCATATACACACAATAAACAAATATAATTTTAAATTTCAATTGAAGAATTTTCATAGGTACCAGCTTCTCGTTCAGCTCTCAGAGGCTGAGGCAGGATGATCATAAATTTTCACTCAGCATGTATAGACTGGAAAGCAGAGTGGGACAGAAGAGAGAGGCTGAGGAGGTAGATGCTTAAGTTTTAGCTATCTGAAGCCTACTTAGCCCACACATAGCAGCAGTTTAGTTCATTTGGAACATTCTATAACAATGATGTCTGTATATAAATTCCAAATTCTGTGTCTTTGGAGGGGGCACTTTTAAGATTTTCTAATTTGTCAAAACAAACAAAAGAGCCAGATATTGAAGCCACCTTACTGGAGAGGAAGACCCTGTCTCAAAAAACAAGACACCCAGAGCTAAAGAGATGGGTCAGCGGTTAAGAGCAACAGCTTTACAACAAATAAGGCTGTTTTGTTTATAAACAAATATAATTTTAAATTTCAATTGAAGAATTTTGATAGAGGACCTGGGGTCAATTCTCAGCACCCACATAGCAGCTAACAACCACCTGTAACTCTAGTTCCAGGAGACTAACGCCCTCTTCTGACCTCCATGAGCATTGCATGACATGGGTGCACTTAACATACAGGCAAGCAATATACTCATACACATAAAATTAAAATAACAAAATATTAAAAAATCAAGAAATACAAATAAACTACAGAAAAGAATTCTGTGTAATGTATGGATTAAATGATTGACGCAATGGTGATTAGAACCATGTACAGTTGGGTCAGGGACCTCAACTCAGTGGCAGGTGCTAACTGTCGATGGCTTTTGTACTTGACATTGTCTCTCACTGTCTCAAAGGTAAACAGGCTCTAATATGAACTGGGAAGAGGTTGCCTGAGCCAACCCAAGAGAAGGTCTAGGTGGGAGGTGACAGGATCACCCCAGGAAAAAGTCTAGGTGTGAGATGAGCAGAGGGCTACCCCAGGAGAAAGTCCAGGTGCCATGAGGGGCCTTTGCTGGAAGCCAAACTTCATCTGAGTGTCACCGCAGGGATTCCTGCAGCCCCTAGAGCTGTTCAGGAAAGCCATGTCTCATGATGGGATCCCCGGGATAAAACTTCCACAGAGCCTCTATGGCAGCCCCATTTGTATGTACATGTATGTATGTGGTTGTATATGCACCTTGGACGTTGTTCCTCAGGCACTAGCCACCTTAATTAATTGTGTGTGAAAGTGTGAATTCATATGTGGGAGGGTGTGAGTGGAGGGGTGTGTCATGTGGGGTATGTGTGTGTGGTGTGGGTGCGTGTGTTTGTGTGGAAAGAAGCACGTTTGTGTGGTGTTTTTCTGTGTTTAAGTGTGTGTGTGTGGTATTGTGTTTGTGTGGTATAAGTGTATGTGTGTTTCTGTGGTGTATGTGTTTGTGTGGTATGAATGTGTATGTTTGTGGGATGTGGATATGTGCTGAGTGTGTATCAGTGTATGTTTGTGTAGTATATCTGTGTGGTGTGTATGTGTGTGGTATATGTGTGTTTGTGTGGTAGATGTGTTTGTGTCATATGAATGTATATGTTTGTGGAGTGTGTGTGCTGTAACTTTGCATGTGTGTGGTGCATGTGTTTGTGTAGTATGTGTGTGTTTGTGTGGTGTGTGTGTGTATGTGTAGTATGTGTCTGTTTGTGTAGTATGTGTGTCTGTGGTGTGTGTGTGTATGTATGTGTGTGTAGTATGTGTGTGTTTGTGTAGTATGTGTGTGTTTGTGTGGTGTGTGTGTGTATGTATGTGTATGTAGTATGTGTGTGTTTGTGTAGTATATGTGTGTGTTTGTGTGGTGTGTGTGTGTATGTGTGTGTGTGTGTGTTTGTGTGGTGTGTGTGTGGTGTATGTGTTTGTGTAGTATATGTGTGTGTTTGTGTGGTATGTGTAGTATGTGTGTGTTTGTGTAGTATGTGTGTGTTTGTGTGGTGTGTGTGTGTATGTATGTGTATGTAGTATGTGTGTGTTTGTGTAGTATATGTGTGTGTTTGTGTGGTGTGTGTGTGTATGTGTGTGTGTGTGTGTTTGTGTGGTGTGTGTGTGGTGTATGTGTTTGTGTAGTATATGTGTGTGTTTGTGTG